GCAAATGCGATAAAAACTCCTCGCTCAAACGCGAAGACGAAAAAAGCCCTTGGAGGAGTAACTCCACTCCTCTAGGGCCTCAGGGGCTACACCCGGCGGGTGCGCTCGCGCGCACCCACCGGAACCTCAAGAAACAAAACCTAATTCCTACGGGAGCGGGAATAAACCAAACCTCGGCGAACCCTCAGGGAGAGTGCACGCACTCCCTCGGAGGCTCGGGGGCTACTATCGGGTACCTTAGGACGGGGTACCCCGAGCGAACATCAAAGGGGTCACTTAAGTCCCATCAAAATACAAAGCTAGAAGGTAAGCCGTGGGCCCCTCACCCGCCACGTCCGAGCCCGCCAGGCTCTCCGCCTCATCTCGAGCCTCGCGTAGAAGGTCTCGGCGTCCTAACGCAATCTCCGCCTCGCGCGAGGCTCTCCACGGAAGGCCTCGGCGGGGAACACAATCTCCGCCTCGCGCAAGGCTCTTCACGGAAGGCTTCGGGAGGGGGTGCATTCTCCGTATCACGCGAGGCCTCTCACAGAAGGCCTCGGCAAGGAGTCCGATCTCCGTCTCACGTGAGGCTCCGCCCTCCGTCTCACGTAAGGCCTCATTCTCCATATTGTGCGAGGCCAGCTTATCCATAGTCCGTCGCCCCCGCTTCGATCGACCCTCCTGACAGCACGTCATGTCCCATTAATACTTCAACCACTCCCGCAATCTCAGCTGGACGACGGCTTGACACCACAGAATGGCCGACGGGACCTGAGGTCGCATCAATGCCATACCGGCTGGGACAGGGCGCGGTAGGGATTACCGGCCACTGTGTTTTGACGCTGTGCCCACGATCAGCGCCCACACTGCACTGTGCCCCGTGATCCCCGCCTCGAAAACAACATCGCGTGGACTACTTGGCGTAGGTCATCACCGCCTCCAAGCCAGCGTGCCAGATCAGCCGCCCTCTCGAAGCCTCGGCACTATACACCAAGGTCTCGGCTATCTCGGGGTTCGTGCTCGCCGAGACCCCCACTGCGGTGCAGCCTCGGCCTCACGCGCCGCCAATCCACAGCGATCAGTGTCCTGGCCGCCGCACCTGCTCTGAGGTAGCCCAGAAGCTCCCATGATGCACAGGGTCGGACGTGACCAGCACGTCGCCCCAGTGCTCCAAGGACGGACCACTCCGACGACCACGCCACCACAGGAACAGGCCACAGGGCTTGGACACACCGCCCCTGTTGGCACGACGCCGTATAGTCAGCACATATACTGTCCTTGTCCTCCCTTCAACTATAAAAGGAGAGGACTTGGGCCCCTTAGGGAGAACACCAGGTAGCTCACACACAGGCACATCCCAGCCGCCTGAGAGCAACATCTCAAGCAGCCCACGCGACACCTCGCCGAGACCTGGGATTAGCTCCCTCTCTCACTGTGCTTGTAACCCCCTACTACTAGCGCTTCGGTGCAAGGAATACAAGATCGATCTCTCAGACTGGACGTAGGGCATCGATTGCCTGAACCAGTATAAACCTTGTATCTCTTTGCATCACCATCCAGGATTAGGGGCACACAGTTCAAATTCACTAGTTGGTAGAGGACCCCTGGTCCAAAACACCGACAGCAGTGGTGTCATGTTTTAGCTCATATTGGTAGTTTGATATGCCCGCTTTAGCATAGTGAAGGTGGTTTGGTCTCAACTTCCATAGTCCGGTTGTTATTGACGCTTTTAAATTTGTGCACGTCACCTGCTCGGTCTGTGTGCGTGGTCACCATGTGCCTGTGCTCGTCGTGGTCATCCCGGCTGGGCCACACGCGCGGAGCCGCATTGCTGGGCCAAGGTCGCCCTCGGCTAGCCGTGGCTTGGCTGCGGCCTGGCCGCCACTGGCCGCTGCCATGCGGAGCCGCCGCCGCTGCTCGCCTTGCCGTGCGGTGCTGCTGGCTGCCCCACCGCTCCTACCGCACTGCTGCCCCTGCCCCGCGCCATGGCGCAGCTACTGCCGGTGCCATCGCCTCGCCATCGCGTCCGCACCCCCTGCACCTCTGTGCCGCTGCTGGCCCAGTCCGATGCCTGCCACTACTATGCGCACATGGCTGGGCTCGTCGTCGTCTTGCCATGGCCGCGCGGGCAGTTCCCGGTCCCGGACGCACGCGTTTGGTCTGTAGTGTCTGCGCGCGTGTCTCCTCGATCGCGTCGGCCGCGTCCTGCCAAGACGAGGTCGAGTTGAGCCCCACCTACCTCTCTCTCTCTCTGCTTCCATGGCCGGCTGGGCCGCGCCATTAAATCCGTCAAGGAGAGATCATCTCGAGCCGATTTGTCGCGTTGCTGGCTTCGCCAAACGTGCCTGCTCTGACAAGAACAAGCACACCGCACTGACCTCGCAAGGACCGAGGGGACAGTTGTCACCTTGGTCCGGTCAGACGCCATCCCTACGCCACATAGCTTAGACAAGACAACAATGCCTAAGGCGGTGATGACCGGTACGATAACAACCGACCAAATATGGCCTGACAAGACGCATGTACGATTCCACCCACTATGGAATGAGATCCACGACGAAGGCATCAACATAGAGGCCATCCAACCCAGCGGGAGCCACGACCCCAACGACCAGGATCGTGGCCCTCAGCTCCTCAAACCAGCAAGGCGATCGATGACCTAGGGACGGCTACCAACTCCTACACGACACCCCCAGAAACCAGGAGGCGATGACGAAGACCACGGTGAGGACCACGTCGCACAGGACGGCTGGCGAACTCCCATCGTGCCTACAGTGCCGTCACGGTCGGCACAGTAGCACCACGTCACACCATGCCGCGACGTGGCCACAAGACCATGACGACAACCACGCCCAGACGTGCTCCCCAAGACGACATAGCTTGCAAGCCAAGTTAGCTTTACTGCTTTGTACAAGCCCTGGCCCCGAACTCTATATAAGGGCAGCCAGGGCACCCATATTGGGCATCCAATTCTGATCCTCTACCATTTTTACTCATTCTCCATCGTAGTAGGGCTCCTGGAGCTTCCCTTCAGGCAGTCCATCTCCTAGCTCTAGCTCTCCAACCTCTTTCACCATTCTTGCACCCTCATTGTAAAAACTTCAGAGCATTCAAGCGAGGAATACGCATTCGATCATCTCTGAGACTGAACGTAGGGCTCCGGCACAAACCAGTATAACTCCTCGTGTCTTTTGGATGTTACAATCGTCTTCCTAGAGCAACGCGGCAATCGTATAAATTCACTAGTCCGGTTTACAAAACACCGACAATATGGTTGCAACTTTTTTTGGTTTGGACAAGGAATGAACAATCTTTGATTGTTGCTGACTCAGACAGCCTTTTTCTTCTTATTATTACTCTGATCGAAAAAAACAAAAACATAATAGCAGATGAGATGGTGGGTACGGGCCCAGGATCGGAGGGGCAGCGTGATGGCCCAACAAGCACATGTGACAATCCATCTGTCACCATGGTAAGCGCTCTTGTGGTTCTGATCTGATCGAGTGTCTGTTTGCTGCATGTTCGATGCATGTATATGTAGGCCGGCCCTCTTCCCCAACGTGCGTGCGCGACCATTAGTAGCGTGCACTTTTTCTCTTCTCCCCTGCGCTTTCTATTGTTCATCTTTTTCCCCGGCCGTCCCCTCCTCCGCTCACCTCGACCACTGCCCAGGCCACCGGCGACCTCCCCACCCACCAACCACCCCTGTCGGACGAACCCACCTTTCCCTAACTTCGACGGCGCTCGCCCCCGACGCCTACCCTGCCCATCCGGTTATCCTACCTGGTCTGGCTCGACGGCGCCGCTGCCGCCTCGCTCACCGCCGGCCAACCCACCGCCGCCGCCCTCGGCCGGCCACCCAAAATCTATGGCTGGGGACATTCTTGAAGCTTCCCGCCGCCTAACCACCACCTCCGCCGCCGCCGCCTCGTCCACCTCCCCGGCCGTTCCGCCTACCGCCCGTCCGCTGCCTCCGCCCACATCCCCTTCTTCTTCCGTAACGGTGCCGCGTGTGTCGCTAACCTTACGGACGCATGCACTCCGAATAAGGATGGGGTATGTAGGGAGGGAGAACCGAGAAGCTACTAGCGTACATCAATACTAGAACCGGTGGAATATACTTGAATTGGGAAGCAAGAAACTAATAATTGATTAAAGAGGCAGTATTATATATAGGGTGTCTTGAGCCCCAAGAAATTAAGAAAACGAGAGCACATGGGGTGGGGATACCAAGTGCTGGCTACAACTAGAAGCAACGAGAAGGAAACAAGGAAGGCACACAGATCCATCTGATGGCCGGATCCAAGGGATTTATTTATTTATTTTACTTTCGGATGTATAGTATGTAATAAAAATGTTACCTGTATAGTTCCTAAAAATTTAGCTTGGCACATACTATTATTAGAATATTAGTTTTTCTATAAATAAATAAATAAAAGAAAATTGAACGAACCGCGTGCCAAGACGATTCGAAACGGGAAAGCCGCTTCCCGGCGGCACCTCCCCTCTCGTCTCGTCTAATCTAGAGTAGTAATCATCAGCAATCAGAGACAAGAGGAATAATAAAAGGCACCGCCGCCATTCTACTCTACCGCTCGCTACCTTTGTGTTGAAGGAGAGTAGACCTCCACCTCTCCTTTGTGGCGTGGCGTGGCCTGGCTTCTGGGTTGTTGGGCATGCAGTTGGGCTTGCCTTTCTCCGCCACCGCGTTGCACTGGTTTGGTTGGACTTTCTCATTTTCTCTCCTCCAACCTGTTCCTCCCTTCCTGTTGCATTGCATAACCTAAGGCCCTTGGAGCCTTGCCTTGCCGGGCATTCCCCCTCCCCTCCGTCCTCCCTGGCTCCCTCGCCCGCGCCGCGCCGCCCCGCCCCGCCAACCCAACCCACCCCACGCCTCTTCCTTCCTCCTTCCCTTCTGCAACAAGAGAGAAATTCCCGATTCCCTTCCCCCCACCCACCTCTAAATTTCCAATCGCCCCAGAATTAATTGCAACTCAAGTAACCCAAGGCGGCATCCATCGATGATGCTGCTCGCCAAGGAGTTCGCCCTATCGCCGCCGCCAGGGGTCGTGCCGCGCCGGAGGCCGCCGGCGAGGGTCGCTCCCACCGCCGCTCGAGGGGGTTCGCCGGTGCCCGACCTATGGCTGCGGACCGCCGCCCCCGCGCCCGCTTCCGCCGCCGACGGCTTCGCCAGCAGCCACAGCCACGACGGCGACTGCGACCTGGCCATGCTCGTCACCGACTTCCTTGAGAACGGGGCCGCCGCCGGGTCCGGAGACTCCCGCAATAGCAGCGACAGCGAATCCGGCCTCTCCGACCTCGCCCACCTCGCGGACACCATCTCGGTACGCCGGCCTCACGCCCCTCATCCCCCTCTTCCCCTCCCTGGCTTCCATCAGCTAGCTTTACCATGCAATCATGCCTACGGACGGAATGAATTACGGAGTTACTTTTGGGGATCTATTTGATTTGATTTGGCCCTGAACAACCAAACTAATAATGCCTCTCAACCAATGTTAAGTAATATCATGCCCCCGTGGCCTTGTATGATGATTGACATTGATTGCCCAATTGACATTACTACTTTATTTACTAGACTAGTGGCCCGCACGTGTGTATGGTAATTGGTAAGACATATCTTGATAGAGAGTAAAAGAAGTGATTCGAATGATACAACAATTAATAAATTATATGTACAACCATGAATAGAATCAAATCCATAACATCTTATAATATGAATGCTTAGCACTTTTTATTTGTGCACCAAAGAAGATTTTACACATTCTTACAATGCTATCTGTCCTTTACTCTCGCTCTCATTTATTACTTCACAACACAGGAAATGATTTAAGCTAACATTAGCAGCCCCAGCCTAGGCTTCCAAATGATCCTACCAACATGGATCAAATATAGTGTGTACAAACCTGAGAAGTGACACAACGAGACCAACTGATTTCCCCTTAATCTCAATACATCTAGATCAGCCTTCAAATTGATAATTAAAGATCAAGTCACACTGTCACTGACCCCATGTGTCCAGCGAGAACACACTGTCGCCCGCAGGGAGATGCTCTGGTCGACCCCAAGGCTGGAGGAGCTGTTGAGGAACCTGTCGAGCGATAGCTGGTTTGCGTGGTCCTCATCGATATGAGCTGCATTGGTATTCTCATAGCCTAGATTTAACTCACTGTCTGAATTCTTGTGGAATGTGAGAGGGATTAGATCTTCCTTCTTGAGTTGTGCTCCAGTTACTGGATGTTTCCCAAACTTTTAAGGTCTGTACATAGAGAAAACAAGAAAGTCAGGATTTTGAATATTTTTGGTCCATACTTGTTTTCAATAAAAATATATAATAGCTCGATAAAATCAGGTTTTTGAATATTTTTGGCCCATACTTCTTTTCAATAAATAAAAATATATAATAGCTCGTTGAACTAAAATCCTCAGCCTCACATTAAATCCACACCGGATCCTCAAATGGAAGAAACATGAGTCTACACCACGCAACAAGATTATAATCAGCAGCAAAAGAAGAGAAATTAACATTGAGCTAGTAAATCATCTGCAGATTACAAGTTTATGTCATCAAAGCATTATCATATTCGACAAACCTTAGTAGCAAGGTATTGGGTAAGCTCAGACTTCAATCATTCAACAAGTTCTTGTCCTCCCTAGACGTCAGCAATGGCATCAAGGTGGCTGCTGCCACCGCAGCGAACGCTATCGCAGGCTACTGATGGCGTTGAGCTTAAGCAGGTTGCCCCTGCCTCTGTTAACCTCGTGGTTCTTGGGGGTCTTCTTCTTGGGAAGCTGGGCGGCCACAGCGGACCTCATCTTGGCATCCCTGGCCTCTGCATGCAGAAGGCAGCATCGAGCCTCTCACAGGAACGAGCAAACATTCGATGAATTCATAAAGTGACTATTTTGGGTCACAATACTTGCAGCTATAGAAAGAAGACAGATACTGCTCCAATTCAGAAATACACTTTAGAATTACAATTTAGTTAATTCGTATATAGACAAATGTCACAAGTTATCTGTATCAAATTTTATTGACAAGCATACAATTTTTTTTTTTTAAAAAGTAATCCCTTCAACATTAGGCAATTTGGTTGAATCAGTGATGATACATTTGCGAACATGGAAGTAAATTAACTCTAGACCATGCATTATGCAAAGTAAAGTTTGTCACGTTATTTTTTTTAACACAAATAGTGCCCTAGAATAGCTGTATGTAAGTAAACTGACACTGAGGATCAAAAAGCAGAAACATAATATAAAAAACTTTCGGCATAAAGTACTAATTGCTGGACCCTAATCTCAGGGTTGGATTACAGCAAGCTGCACATATTTGTCATCGTAGCCACTACTGGGGCTTCGGCCACAGCGACCGACAGGGTCGCGTGCGAGGCGCTCCACATGCAAACAAAGGCAATCCTGTTTGATTTGCAAGCTGGTATTATTTGGAACCCATGACAGTAGCAGGCTAAATAATAGCAGTATAGATCAATAGGTGAAAGTAGAAGAGAAAGCAATCCAGTTTGATTGGCAAGCTGGTATTGTTTGGAACCCATGAATTAGAAGTATAGATCAATAGTTCAAAGCAATCATGGAAATAGACAGACTCAAGACCAGTCAGAAAAATAGATGGACGGAGTGGCTTACTCAGGAAATATGTTTCTGAGGTTCAGTCCTAGACAACATGCTCCGGAAAGCTTCCTGAAAAGGGCAAAATAATTACATTTTGCCTAGTGTGCACCTGTGGTAGAATGCGAAAACCAATTTTACTACATTTACATAATTTCTTCTCCATCCTCTCGCACAACCCCTAAGCATGCCACTATTAATGGTTTTTTCAACCCCTCGATGGAAGAGATAATAGATACTACTGTAGACCATCATGCTACAAATCAATTTCTGTTTCTAGTTTGTCACACCACATGCTGTCATCATATCATCATCATACACTGAATTCTGCACCCATCTATCTACCTACTGTGCGTGGCTCTTAGCAAGCCATGCATGTCACCAAAATTCGCTTGTATCCTTACCTTAGTGTCCATCGGTTCAAAACCAGCCTATGCATCATCATCTTAATTTGTTCTCCTGCCATCACCTAATGCTTGTGACTTTTCAACTACTCCCTCCATTCCAAATTATAAGACGTTTTGGCTTTTCTACATACAAAATGTTTGCTATGCATTTAGATATACACTTTGTCTAGATACATAGTAAAATTAATGTAGTATATTGAAAAGCCAAAACGTCTTATAATTTGAAAAAGGAGGTAATAGCTCTTTGTGCCCCAGTTGGCCTGTGTTTTCTTTCATTGCATCGTGCCCCTTTTATATGCATGCACCACTAGTCCTTTCAGCCTTACAAATTGCCATTACATTTGTATGCCTCAACTTATGCTCCCTGCACCCTGTTTTAGATGTTGAAGCAGGGTGGAGATGAGAAAGAAAACGAGCTGCTCTCCATGGTCCACTCGCTACTCCTCTCTATCCATGAGCTGCAGCTTCAGCCTTTCAAAAGAGGCCAATGTGGTGGCAGCTGCATCCGCCATTTGCTTGTCAAGCTATTGAGATACTCGGGAAATGATGCAGCAGTTTGCGCATCCAAATGGCAGGGTTTTGACAAGATCCCTGGAGGTACTTGAGATGACAACTTGGCTGTCTATGCTTCCTACTGAGAGCAGAGAGCACTTCCTTAATATTCTCCAGTACAAATTAAGTACAGTGCTGTAGGCTAAACTGTTTGTGGTTTCCCCAATCAGGTGACTACGAGTACATTGATGTCATAATGCACGGTGATACTACAGGTCCAGAGCGTCTAATCGTTGATATCGATTTCAGAAGCCACTTTGAAATTGCCAGGGCAGTTGATTCTTATGGCACCTTGTTGAATTCGCTCCCAGTGGTCTATGTTGGCACCCTTCCGCGACTGAAGCAGTTCCTGCATGTGATGGTAGATGCTGCAAAATGGTCCCTGAAGCAAAACTCTATGCCGCTTCCTCCCTGGAGATCCTTGCCTTATCTCCAAGCGAAATGGCAGTCCAAGTATGAGAGGAAAGATTCCATCACCGAGGGAGGCTTCCACAGCACATCTACTGATCACACACTGTGCATTGGACACCTCAAGAGGCTGAAAACGTCCCTCCAGTTAGAGCTTGAGACCGCAGGATTACTGATGATGCCAATCAAGGCTGACAAGAAGAGGATGCCAAAGCCATCTGAGAGGCGGAGGCGGCGTTCCCTTCTCAGTTGTTGATTTATGTTCCTTGGACACATAAGAATACTAAGGAGAAGAAGCAACAGCTTGCTGCTGGCAAATTTTGTTTTCTCAGAAAATGGAGAAATGAGAGGCTTTTTTTCTCCGTTCAATACATAATGATGGAGACTCTTTTTACAGGTTTTGGTTTACAGATAAGGTAAAATAGGAGGTGGATATTAACAGGCTATGTTAGTGCCAGGTATTTTTTTTTGAGGCACATAAGAAAAGGACAAAGAAAGTAAGAGTTTTTTTTTTTTTTTAGTTTTGCTTCTTTCCGGCAGAGATAGATATGCTAGTGGTGAATCTGCTGCATATACGACGTACAAGTGAGAGTTAGTATTACAAAATCAAACTTACCCTACTATATATTGATTTTTTGGTGATACAGTTTTGTCCCATTTTGGTACTCCAGAAACTGATAGACGCTGTTGATTGCCGCATTGAACCGTAGAATGTACAAGTCGGGTGATACGCTTATTGAAGTTGAAGAATATTTGTTTTAGTTCAAGTTCGTTTGTAATTGTAAACTGGTGATTGTGTTTGAGAATGAGAAGTTGTCTGTTGTGGCAGTGATGGTGCTAGCTTCTTTAATTTTGAGATTGAGAGAGACTTGTGATGAAGAAGAGGGAAGGAACATGTGGCAGGCAAAGCATGTGTAAAGCATGCTGGGCAGGTGTGGACCTGTAGTCAATGCAAGACAATATTCCCAGTGCTGTGTTGATTCCTTGGCCACTTTGCCAGCTTGTCAAACAATCATAATTGGATACTTTCCCCTGACTTTGGTTAAACAAATTATGTCAAACAATCATAATTGGATACTTTCCCCTGACTTTGGTTAAACAAATTATGTGTATGCTGTAGCCGTAGTGGCTAGCCTAAGATGAGAGTGAATCACATGCCAAAGCTTGTTTCGATTCCTTATAAGAGGATGCCCTATTTCCAGCCGACTGATATTTGAATATTTTTTACACGCGACTGATAAGTGAATCACATGCCAAAGCTTGATTTGGAACCATAAATATTTTTTTTACGACAGGAACCATAAATGTGAATAGACCAAGAGAGCATAGGAGACGATCTAGGGAGGCGCTACCACCTCTCTGTCTCAAAAAAATATAAGATGGATGGTGCAGCCTTCAAAAACATATTTGAATATATAATTTCTCTTGTAATATATAACTTGTATATATAGGAACAAACGTCTGATAATTAAAAAAATATTTCTAAACACACGTTTAATATAATTGCTTTTATAGTATATACAGGCTAATTGTTTGTTAAAAATAATAAAGTTTAAATTTTAAAATACGTGCAGATCAGTATAACTCTAATCTTTTGTGTGTGTGTGTAAAAAGACCTGGAAGATGCTGCGAGCCTGCGATGATGCATTATTTTTGGCAGCACTACTAGGAAGGAAAGCGAACGTGTCACACGCACATCAGGCAGCGCGCACACTAACAATAACTAACAGAAGAGATGGAAAAAACTTGGATTGGGTACGGTGGTGGGTTAGTCAGAGTGGGAGTTGGAGTCCGACCTCCAGCGGGACGGTGCCGCACCGAGCACGCCCGCCCCCTCGTGCTCGCTTGTCTTCCTCCGCACCGGCACCGGCACGGCGGCACCCCCACCGCAACTGAGTCAATCTCTTCTCCTTCCTCCTCCGCCGCCGCGCTTACGAGGAGGCTAGGACGATGCAACCGCTTCCGCTTTATTATTATTTTTAATTATTATTATATTAGCAAAGGGTAATAGCAGGGCAATCTCCCCCTTTGCAATTGAGTCATCATCATCATCCAAAATTCCAAATCCAAATCCAAATCCAATCCCCTCAACCTCTCTTGATTTGATTTTGCAGGATCCGGGTCCGGGCAGCCAGTTCTCCGATGCCCTCCTCGATGGCCAAATCCCTCCTCCTCCCTCCCCCCTTCGTCTCCGTCTCACCCCGCCCGCACCCTCACCCGCGCGCCGACTTCCCCGTCCTCAAGCCCCGCCGCGCCGCGCTGCTGGCCGCCACCGGCGGGGACGCCACGCCCGCGCCCGCGCCGGACGCCAACACCGGCTCCAACACCAACCCTCTCGCCGCGCTCGTCGAGGCGCCCCGCGCGATCTGGCGCCGCACCCTGCAGCCCCTCGGCGACTACGGCTTCGGCAAGCGCAGCGTCTGGGAGGGCGGCGTCGGCCTCTTCATGGTCTCCGGGGCTGCCCTCCTCGCCCTCGCCCTCGCATGGCTCAGGGGATTCCAGCTCCGCTCCCGCTTCCGCAAGTACAACACCATCTTCGAGTTCACGCAGGCGTGCGGCATCTGCGTCGGCACGCCCGTCCGGATACGAGGGGTCACCGTCGGATCCGTCGTCCGCGTCGACTCCTCCCTCAGGAGCATCGATGCCACCGTCGAGGTCACCGTCGTTACTCGGTCTCTCTCATAGTGTTCCTATCGATGACCCCATTTCTACCATCCATATGTTCATCTATCTATCATTATCTGCATTGTGTTTCCAAATTTCTTCGGTGTATGTTATTGAGCTGAATTTGTCCTCTCTGTTTTCTTTTGTTGCAGGTTGAAGATGATAAAATCATCATACCACGGAATTCAGTGGTCGAGGTGAATCAGTCCGGTCTTCTAATGGAGACACTCATTGATATCACACCCAAGGATCCACTCCCTGCACCTTCAGTAGGACCACTTGACCCTGACTGCACCAAAGAAGGCTTGATTCTCTGTGACAAAGACAGGATGAAAGGACAGCAAGGTGTAAGCTTAGATGCATTGGTGGGAATATTTACCCGGCTAGGTAGAGACATGGAGGAGATTGGCGTTAGCAAAAGCTATAAGTTGGCTGAAAAAGTTGCAACTATAATGGAAGAAGCACAACCTCTTCTTACACGGGTACATTCCTTTTTCCAATTATTTTCCTAACCATTTGCAAACTTACATTTTATTACCTTGCTGGAATGCCTGTGCAACCAGTTTCTTTCAGTCAGTACCGCTAAGCAGGGTTGCATGTTTCAAATGCCTTTTATTCCCTATCATGGAGCCCCTCATTCTGTATAGACCCGCAACTTTTCCCAACATACCACCATGTGCCAAGGCTAAAAATTCTCTAATTAATTATTTATCAAAATAGGTTTCCACTTCAACTTATTTGCCTTGGCACACTACTAGATATCCCAAATACCAGCATGCTAGCTCTGCAATCAGCAATGGCTCATACCTTAGTGAGACTTATGGTTACTTTAGTGAGACTTGAACTCGACTACTGAAATGTTGCACAACAGGTCCACTATGCAGCTTAACTTCCCGTGCTGGCATGTTTACTTGCCTTTGTTTTATGAGTAATGGTCAGGAGGAGGGGACCTCCACTTAGTTGGAGTCGGGTGGGGCGGGGGGCAAGATGTTTGGTTATTCTTCCTTTTATGTTGCATGCATTTGGAAATTAAAACAACGGGTGGAGTGTGGTTCTTCCTCCAGATAGTATTTGTATTTATTCTGTTTGCAAAATATGGTTAGAATTGTGTTGGAAGCTACTTGTGCTGTTGAATATGATATACATGGAATTAAACGGTAGCTGTGGAACAGATTGAGGCCTTGGCTGAAGAAATGCAACCTTTGCTCTCTGAGGTTCGTGATAATGATCTGCTGAAGGATGTGGAGACTATAGCTAAAGGCCTGGCTGATGCGTCTGGTGACCTAAGGTACCACTGGAAAGCACTCCGATGTAGCATATGATCTTTTATACATGAAGCATCTTGCTTTTGCTCCCTTTTGTGGAATACTTACATATGCAGTGACTAGTGAGGCTTGCCAGTAACCAGGGATGATCTGGCAATAATTTGATGATTTCTATTTATTTTAATGAGCAGCAGAACAACAAGTCCTACTGTGCTGTAATAAGTGCATTATAATGATAGGTTAAGCGCAGAATCTAGTTCCCGGTTAGCGAGTAATGTTTTTCTGGACCCTTTTAAACTTTTTCCTTATGCTGGCTTGCAGAAAGCTGAAGTCGTCCATGCTTACCCCAGAGAACACAGATCTTATTAAGCAGTCTATTTTCACCCTTATATTTACCCTGAAGAACATTGAGGTCTGTCCTTTTTACTTACCCTGCATTGTGTGGTATCCGTTTCTCGAACTGAACGACATGGCCTTACCTTTGTTAAATTTTAATTCAGAGTATCAGCTCGGACATCTCTGGGTTCACGGGTGATGAGACGACAAGGCGGAACATCAAGCTTCTAATCAAGTCTCTCAGCAGGCTATTGTGATTGTTTTTTCAATGCGCAGAGAAAAATGATGGATTGCTTTGCTTTGCTTGAGACGGGGAGTTGATGCTTGCTGGTAGAGTAGGGTGGCAGGAGTAGCTAATTAATTGATGTTCCACAAGGTTTTGGTTATTCTGGTTCCAAGGTTTCTGAGAATTCTTGAACAATCTAAAAACTTGATCGATCGGTGAATCACGAAAAGAGCAGGCAGGCATGAGGAGAGAGATGGATCTCCCTCCTTGTTGAGCTGTTGTAAGTCATCATATAGTAGGCCGCCCATTTTTTCGGTTGTACATGAGCTGATGGATCGCCCTTGTTGGCTTGAGCAAATGTGCAACCAAGTTAAGAAAAAATAGATGAGTTTTTATTTTTGCTGTTGTTTTGGTTGTTGCAAATGATTGAAGTTTATGACGAGGCGAGGCCGCCCGGGGGGTATATGCTCACTGTAGCACAATTATATATGTGTACTAATTATGTGAGTATACTCACATATATATGCTCACATAAAAAAATGTGCAAGGAAGGCGCCTACTGGGGTATGCTCACTGTAGCACATCATTTTAATTAGTACACATATATATACTCCTATGTATATACAATATCAATTATTAGTCACTACTCAATGTGCATGCATATGTATACTATTGCTGTTACCTGAAACTTGGTCATATAATATATTGGCTCCAATTAATGCATGCATTCCTCCCATATGATTAACCAAAAGGGGGGAAAATGATGGCATGGTGGATGACCTGCGTTGTAATGCAAATTAACACACACACATGTATATATGTACGTACATGTTCAGGTACTGTTGCTGGTGTATACGTCGGCGTGGAGTACGGAATCGACAAGATCCGTGGTCACAGGGACTGGGTGGGTATTCATTTACTATTTATTTATTTATTTGCATTGAGGAGAGAGGCTCACAAATTAAAGAATATAAATAATAAATATATGTGTGTATGTATGTATGAAATCCGTGACGGGACGGGAGCCTTGGTCTCTGCCGTGAACAACCACCACCGCCAGAACGTGGTGAAGAACGCCATCACCGGAGGAGCCATCGCAACGGCCGCCGAGTTTCTCACCCACCTCACCTCATGATTATATATTATTATATTATATTCATGACCCACGGAGACCCACCTCTCGCTACCTCATCCGATCCGCTCCATCCATTATATTATATTTTTCCTAGCTTGATGATGACGTACTATATTATATTAATAAAATAATCTATAATAAAAATCAATTAATTAACCTTCATTTTTCCTGCTAATCGAGCCTCTGATTTCAGGTTGCTCGTTATTTTTAGTTAAATTTAATTAAAATAATTGTTTTGGAACGGGCTTAGACCGGCCTGATTGTTTTTCCTGAGAAGTCATCCGGGACCACCTCCAGCGAGGCCAGGAATGGAGAAAGCCAAGCGCCATTTACATAGTTGGGTTATTAACTCAGAGATACAAAGCAAGGAGGGTGAGAAAAAAAAAACATGAACGCCAACAACATACATGAGAAGAGGAAGAACAACCAATAACAACATACATGAGGAGGAACGACAATGCTACAAGGTCAAGACATAAACTCTCACGACGGAGGCAAGTCGTTGATCGCCAAATAATGCACCACTAAGTAACAATCCCAAATGATCTTCATTCGACATGCGACTGTTAGGCATTGAACCGACATAAACATGCGATAGTCATCATGATGTACATAATCTATGGAGCACATTCAGGACCCTGTCGTCTTCCTCCAATGCCCCTAGATGGGAGGAAGACTCAAGGGAGGGAGAACTAGCGACCGGAGAACTAGGAGATACAAGAGAGGGGATTATGGCCTTGCTAACCCAACATATGGTGAGATGATGCTGCAATCAAGGAACCTTGAGGACTCGAAGGCAAAGAAATTGGCAGACACAAACATCTTGTGCACCCATAAGGAAGTGTAAGTAAAGGACCCTGTAGAAATATTGTAGTTAAGCCTGAGAGAACCCTCCATGGCGATTCCCGCGATGTCGATGATGCCGCCGCCATCGGCTCGAAAGAACCGAAGCTATAGTTTTACTAGGAGGTACCATACAATTACAAGGTGGAGAAGGCTACAATGACGTCTCCAAGGAGGTTAGTGGTGTCTGAGGGTGTCACCTTCGATAGCAAGGTCAGGTACGACTTTCGCCAAAGCCCCTTGAGCCTCTGAACTGTACAGACGAGTCCAAAGCTCTCGGTGTCTGGTCCCTTTCCAACAACAATCGCAGGTGTGCCTCTCGGTGTTTGGTCCCTTTCCAACAATAATCGCGGGTGTGCAAGGCTAAGCCTGTTTTCCTTTGATCTATTGGTGACAAGCTACTTCCTCCAAATATTAGCTCAATTTCTTTCTCTTCCTCTAGGTTGTTTCCTTCATCCCTCCATCTTCTCCCTCAACTTCATACTCTTCATTGTAAAGGGGAGTGAGAGCCCATAGCTTGCTTCATGGTTGAGGATAGCCTATGTTGGGTTAGTTCATCCTTGTTCGTCCCTATGCTCCGGTCTTAATGATGTTCACCTAGCACACTTCTTTACCCAGAAAGAATAAAATGGCCCAAGAAGGGGTCGAGTTGGGTTTAAAAAAATTAAAGCACAAATTAAAATCTTAACCTGGAGGAAGAAGACAGGTATGGGGCGTTTCGCCACGAGCTCGCGTGTAGCCGTCGATCCTCGCCGCCTTGTTCCTCTGCTCGCCTCCTTCTCGCCTAGACGACGGTCTCGAGGGATTGGTGGAGGGGAATGGAAGGGAGAGAGAAATTCAGATCTAACCCTCTCCCGAACCGGTGTGAACCTACAATGCTACATAAAAAGATTGGTTAGGGACCCAAAACCACACTTAGAGGCGAAAGTTAAAGGACATGTGGTGCATTTTGCTCAATAAAAATTAACTAATTTCTACTCTATCCATTCCAACACACATAAATTAATATAGATATGAGTACATTCAAACCGAACTTTTTTTACAAAATTTACGTACCGTTGGGGCCTCAACGATACCAGATGTTTCTCACCTTGCTCTATGCAACTCCTACCAAGATGCACTAAAGGTGTAATTATCACTATTTGAGTCCTTTAGTCTTGTATTTTTCAACGTTTTAAATTATAAGTTTACTCTAATTTTGTCCTAAGTATTTTTTCCCAATTTTAATCAAGTTTATAGAAAATACACTAACATCCACAACTTCAAATTAGTTTCATTGAATTTTCCATAAAATATATTTTGATAGAACATGTATTTGATATATAAATACTAATATATTTTCTAGAAACTTAGTCAAGGTTATAGAAGTTTGACAACTATAATGTAAAATAGGGGCACTGACTTCCTTAATCCACCGACCAAAATCATGCTATCCTCAAGCTAGTGCCATTGATTCTTCGTTTCCTGCGTCATAAACCACAGTAAGACGATTCCGGAGTATCACGTTCACCAATTTATTTAGCCTAACAAGATCGTCTCCATTATCCACATTAGGCCTTTCCATTCTCGTCCGACCTTGAAATCACATCAAAACCACAACCGCAAGTCTACATGATGAAGTAGTGCTGCTAGTTACAATTAACCAAGTAAACAACCTTTTACCGAAAGAAAAACCAAGTAAACAACCAACATGGAAGCTAAGCTAGTACAGAAGGATTACATAATCTCCAAATTAATATATTCAAACCTACACATTTACATTGTTACTCCGCAATACAAATCTACACGCCTCTGGTCAGTTACCATATATGCAAAGGGAAAGGAGAGCAAAAATACAAGGGACTATCTATTTATTGAACCGAGCATGCCTCACCCAAAAAAAAAGTGCCTGCCTCAGATCCCAACGGTTCAGCAATACAAAATTGTAGGGAGTCACATCTACGCCATCTTGTCTTAAACCTTTGTCAATTCATCCAGGCCTGGTAAACCACAATGCACTTTGTCCATAACACAGGATGATCACTAGATTATCCTGTTAATCACAGTGCCTCCTCTGGACTGTGACTAGTCTAACAAAGAATAAAGAAATTCAGAAGCCTGTACATGCATATGGCTAAAGCAATAATTTACATGATTCACATAGCATCTGCAAAATTACAAACAAGAAATATTAGTAACCTCATAAGTACAGATAGGGACTATGGAGAATGTTATTCTGGCAGCCTAGCATTTTGATCATAAGAAACGACAAGATAATCTTGATCATAAGTGGCAGGATATTCAAAGGGGTCGGTCCATCAACGCAGATGCATAGGAAAAAGAAGTCTTCAAGCATGAGTTTGCAATTATTATCCATAGAGCAGAGAATAAGTTTGTTCACGATGCACAAAAATGCCTAGAGTTCATATAATAAAAAAACATTACTTTATTTAATATATGATTCAAAGTAGGATCATTTCATACTGTTTCCTCTAAAAATAATAGAGTGCATTATGTCAAGTAATAATACTTAAGACTAACAAGCAAATTCACATTATTATAATGATGACAGTAACAATGAATTAGTTCAGAAGGACATACCTTTTCTTAGTTCGGAGCAGAGGAACATCTTCAGGTGTGCAATAAACACAGCCGAAGTAGTGATTCTAACTTAGAGCTTTATCCATTGAAATGTCATCATGATCTTATCATTGGACTCCTAGGTCATTTGATAACTGCAATATCCCACGCATTTGAAGGTATGGGTTCTCCAGAAGTTTCTCATTGTTACACTGGCAATAACACAAACAAGTCAGCACCAACTTAATGTGGTGATAGGATACACATGGAATTAAATTTACTAAGAGGCTTGAAGTGCTTCAACATGTCAGTAGGAGCTATTCTAGGTATAAGATGCATAGCATTGTTCCTTAGTAATAATAATATAAGATACGGGAGAAAACCTTAACCTGTTGAGCTTTTGAGATGAGGCTTTGAAGCATTCGTTGGTATATCTCTGGTTCCTCTGTCATCATTCTCTGTTAACACAGATTGTGTTAGGGCAAAGTGGAGTA